GCTGCACTGTGGGCCAAGCGTTGCCAAACCGCCAGCGGAGCACTTTCTTTTTCTTATTTGGCTGGTGCCGCAAGGCATTGTGGTCCGGTAGGCCCGAGTTTAAGAAACAACAAAAAGGTGGGGAAAGACTCACATAATGATGGGGAGCATGGAGGGAAAGAACCAGAAGACATTCGGGTTGTGACTCTGGAGACTCTGGAGGTGCAGAGTGTCACATTCGTTCAAATTGGAACCATACAGAGAAGATCAGCATGGCCCCTGCATAAGAAATGGCACGCATAAAGCGAGAAGTGGTCCAAATTTCTTCTTTTTTTTTTTAAAGGGAAAAAACAAAAGGAAGAAAAAATGGTTTAAGGGTTGGAAACGATGAGAGACGTAGAGTTAGAACTAAATATTTGGGGCAGCCCAGGCTGGTGGAGGTAGAGGAGGGGGTTAGAGGAGCTAGGGAGACGTGCTGTAGAGGTTAAGGGAAGGAGAGAGGTGAGGTTGGAGGAGCCCACTCAACCTGGCGCCATATCCTGGAGGTCTGCCGCCAGCCATAGCTGGCCTTCTTCCTTGAGACACCTGCAGTACATCAGCAGCTCAAGGCTCTGCCTTCCACTGGTCACGTGTGTGCGCGTGCCTGTTTCAGACTTCGCATGTGTGTGTGTGTGTGTTTCAAATTTTGCATGTGTGTGTGTGTGTGTGTGTGTGTGTGTGTGTGTGTGTGTGTGTGTGTGTGTGTGTGCGTGTTCAGTAACCTCACATCTAAATGCTGACAACCCCGAGCCAGTTGTGTGAAGCAGAGCATCATCATCTTGACCACATTCGTCAACAACGCGATACATTTGTTTTCCATCCCTGCGATAGAACGGGAAACCCTTCATGTAGAACAAACCAATCGCCATGTAGTGAAATTTGAAATTTCAGATTTTATTATTATTATAATATTATTATTATTGTTATTTTATTTTTTGCACGAGATGGAAATTTGTTTTGTAGGGCTGTTTGTAAGGAGAGAATATCGTTTGCTGGAATTTACGCCCTCAACCTCTCTCCGGGGAGAGAGAGGGAGAGAAAAGGAGAAAATGAGATGAAAAAATAGTGAAAGCAAAAGAGAAAGAGAGCCAAAAAAAGAGCGAAGTGCATTCACCGGACTTTGTTCGAGGCCAATAAAAATGGCCCTAAAAGGCGAAAACAAGATTCCAATTTCATGCAACTGAAAGAACATCTCAAACTTAAACCACCAGTACTTGGCCCAGCTATCGGCCACAGTTGAAAAAATAGAGTAGAAACGTTTCTCGTCGGATGAATTTGGACCCTCCTGTACTGGCCCGTACGGTTCCTAAAATGGTGGCTTGTTAATTAACGGCCACAACTCTAGGAAAGTCTGGGTGGTGTAAAGTTTAAACCGCCAGTAGCCTAGCTCAGTGGGTACACCATTGAACTGTTGAAATACAGACCCGAGTTCAAACCCGGATGATGGAACCTCATGAGTAAAACCAAATATTTCTGAACTGCCTTGGGCCGGTCAGCTCAATGATGATATCTCAAGACCGTTGCCCTTTCAAAAAAAAAAAAAAAACGCCAGTACACGGACCCGGCCTTGCATGTCGTCCCCGGCGCACTGTAGCAATGGCTCGGCCTACCGGAGCACAATGGCTGACAGCGCCAGCCGAAAAAGACAAAAAATGCGCCACCGGCGCGGTTCGAAAAAGCTCGGCACAAAGTAAGAAGGCGCCTCCACGCCCAGGTGTACTGGTGGATTACCTAAATGGAAGTCAACCAGCAGTGGACCCCTACCGTCTTCACCCGAATAGAATGCCCGATCATTATATCTGTATTTGGCACAACTTTCAGCTCAGATACGGCGATAATTACCTGAAACCGTTCTATTCGGGTGGAACGGGTTGCCTTCAGGTTGCCTTCAGGTTGTTACTTGTCCGCGGCCAAACAAGCCTGCTCAGTCATGCAAAAGGTGCTGTGAAGTCCTTCAGGACATCCGTTAAAATTGGAACGATACAGAGAAAGAGAAGATTAGCATGGTCCCTGCGCTTTCAAGGATGACACGCATAAATCGAGAAATGATCCAAATTAAAAAAAAAAAAAAAAAAAAAAAAAAAAAAAAAAAAAAAAAAAAAAAAAAAAAAAAAAAAAAAAAACGCGCTGTGAAACCAATTGCTCACAATTCACCATTGGGGCCTACGTGGTTGCACTAGTCGCGCCATCTGGCAACATTTTGAATGCATGTGGAGAAATTTGACTCCAGATGCATTCAAAAGGTTGGTTGGAGGCGCGTAGCGCAACTAGGCCCTTATTCTGCCCTCATGCTTGTCCTTAAAACACACACACACACACACACACACACACACACACACACACACACACACACACACACAAAATCAATCAAATGCATGTGGACAAATTGCAGTCCAGATGCATTCAAACTGTTGGTGGATGGCGAGTATAACAACTCCGGTGGGCCCTTACTCTGCCCTGATGCATATCCTTAAACCACCAGTACACACAGCCCCAGCCTTGCAGTCCGAAACTTGTCACCACAAGAAAACGAGGCCGAAACGTCAAACGCCGCACCCGCCGTTGATAAATTCGATCAGCGGTCACGGTTTCGTTTCGCGCCTCCAGAATTTGAGGTGTCAGGCCCGCGGCCCAGGTCCCCATGTACTGCTGGTGCTTTAACACACGCACACGCAAAAAAACAATCAACCAAACAAAAAAGCAGACGGAACTAGCAGAAACTTTGAGTACAAAATATGACAAGAAAGTATCGACTTCTAGAAGTGAAATATTTGTGAAGAAAACACGAACGGAGAAGACTGCACTGTGCGGCACGCAGAAACAACATGGAAAGAAAAAAAGAGACTAAAGAAAAAAGAACTACAAAAAACAACATGGAAAGAAAAAAAGAGACTAAAGAAAAAAGAACTACAAAAAACAAACTACAAAAAAAAGGGACTACAAAAAAAAAGGAGCTAGAAAAAAAAACCATGAAGGTCGATATGGAAGAAAAAACAACCCATAAAATCATACCATAGTGCACATCACAAACGAGCAAAACTCCACCAACCTTGGTTGGTCCCCCACATTCGGTGTGATCCGGCCAGCACCCCGACACACTTAGGGGAAAGACCACAGATGACCTCAAAATGACTTAGCATGTTTATCAGGGGGACCAAAGCGTGTCGGGATCACCGTGTGTGGGACCCCTGATAAGCCTGTCAACATGCTTATCAGGGGGAAGAGCTTCCGCACAATCTCAACCCGATGCTCAAAGCTGGAGGCCTTGTCCAAAACCCTTGCCTCCTTCGGTTACCCGCATACTCCCTCTCTTCTCAACCCAGTTTTTATCCCTTTTCTCCTCTGTTTCCCTTTTCCTTGCGGTCAGGTCCCATAGTACGTCAAACATTTGCACATACTCTTCCATTGTACGCATACCCCACATCGGAGTCCGGGGCATGCATTCCCGCACATAGTGCTTCGAACATTTGTACTTATGCTTCCATTGTCTGCATACCCCACGCCGAGGGCATGCAATATCGTACCATGCCTGCCATCTCTCAATCAATCCCTCAAATGCAGCCAAGACAGTTGGAAACCATAACTCTCAATCGATGCGGCCACTACAGCACACCCCGATCGAACGGCATCGATTGTGCACAGCCTGACCAGAAGTTGCATGTCACTGTGTGTTCTGGCAAACAGTGCCAGTGGCAGAAACAGCAGCAGCAGCAGCACCACCACCACCACCACCAGCGCCCCGAACTCGATAATTAACAACATGCACGAGAGAACTGAACGGGGCCTCTACAATACCCGGTACTGTTAGTTATCCAGAACTTCCCAACGGTTCAATTCGCACGCTGTCAGCCTGTCACCACGCAGTATTCCACCTGCAAATGTACTACCTCATCCTGACCTGGGTGAAAGGGGAAAAGAAAAAAAAAAAACTCGGTCTCACGCCAAACATGCCTACCAACTTATTGCGGCCTCAGCTGGCAAAAAAAAAAAAAAAAAAAAAAAAACTCATCCTGACGTCAAACATGCCTCCTATCGTATATTCTGGCATAAGAGATGCGCAGACATGGTCCGGACAGGAAGTGGGAAAGGACCCACCCCTCCAAAATGTGCACCCCCCCGCGTTAGCGCTTCTATATGCCAACTCATTGTGGCCTGGGTTGCAAAAAAAAAAAAAAAAAAAAAATACAAAAAAAAAACTCATCCTGACGCCAAACATGCCTCCTAGCGTATAGGAGTCCTTCTGGCATAAGAGATGTGCAGACATGGTCCGGACAGGAAGTGGGAAAAAGGACCCACCCCGCCAAAATGTGCACCCCCCCCCCCCC